ATCGCTTTTTAGTCTTCCCAGCTAGCCTCAGCAAAAAATGCATTTTTCTCCCTCAAAAAAATCTACATTTTTTACGGCCACGACTTTTTTCAATTTTAGGGGCACGCCCCATACAAAAAAAATTAGCTTCTCGTTAATGGTGATAGCTATACTTTCAATCACAATTTTGCCTTTGATTGTTCTTTACTTAGCACATCATAAACTTCATTAAAAGCTTCTTCAATATAATATTTCATAACTTCAGATTTATTACCACTTGATCTTCTTGTACATATATTAACATGTAAGAAATCATTATTAATTTGATAAGCAAACCCCCAACCAATTGGATTAACTTCACTCCAACCATAAGCATCATGATAATTTGAAGATAATTGTGATGTTGAAACTAACCATGTTCCAGAGTAATTGAATAATGGATCTGAATATAATTCATGTGGTTTCTCATCTGGATTTAATAATAATTTCATACCAAGGAAATGACGATCAATACCTTCACCTGCTGAAGCTGCTTTAATATAATCTAAATGAGATTTAATTGCATTCTGGAAATCTTGAGAACGTTGTTTATTTGAAACTGTTGGGTTTGACCAATTTTCAACTAAGGTTTTAACTTCTTCAGAAACTGATCTTGTTGCCTCGGTTCTACCTAAGGAAAAACGACGAGTTGAAGCAGCTTCATAAGTTGGTAATAATTTTCCCAAGGCTTTATAAATACCTAATTGTAAAACAACTTGAATGAAAGCATCTGGTGAAGTTTTAAAATTTTTAATTTCATTTTTGGCAAATTTATTATAGTGTAAGACTTTAACATCATGATTATCAATTTCTGATTGTAAATTAATAAACCCATTTTTAATATGGTTTTGAACTAATGGAGAAATTTCAAAATTTAAATGTTTTGGTTTAATTTCTAAATCACCTAAATTTGTTGTTTCTAATTTTGATAAAAATTCTTTAGGTTGCAATTCCCAAATTTCTCTATTAACAAATTCATTTAATAATAAAGTTGGTGTCCCATCCATTTTGGAATGTTCAGCAATAAATCCAGTATAACCATTTTTAGCAATGAAGAATTGAATTGGTTTATCAAAATAACGATTATATCCATTTCCATGCCATGAATAATGAGCACGATCTTCATAAGTGATTGGTTGATCATCATCTAAAGAAACTAAGAATGAAGATTTATGAATATCATCTAATGATGAAATGTTTATTGGAGATTTTCTTAATTCAGTATAAGCTTCATACCATTGATCTCTTGGTAATGTTGTTAAGATACCAATTTGATGATTTTCTTTTGGTGTATTTAAATTATTTGAAATTTCAATAATTTTAATTAATTGTTTATGAATTTCACTTAATGGATATCTTTTATTTGTTTGGGTATCATGAGTATATAAATTGAAAAAATGACCATTTTTAACAATAGTTATAAAACCATTCTCGAATAAATCATAAAAAACATTTGAATCTTGACCTGGTTTTAATGGGATTCTTGAATTATTAAACATAACTTTAAAAGAATTCATACAATATGGAGTACCTTTAATAACTTCAGGTGGTAAAGTTTGATTTTTAATTAATTCAACAAAATCTAAAGTTTTATCAATTATAGCAATAGCTTTATAAATTTGATTTGAACCAATATCTTTTAAATGGACTGGTAAATCTCTATGACCATAAAAATATGATACATAAGGAACAATTGGATCATTATATTGTAAATAAGCATAATCATCCCAAAAAGTTGATAACCAATTTGATTTCCCCTGGGAATATTCAATTAAACGTTCATGTAATTTCCCACCTTGATTTTGGAAGAAATCTTCAACAAGAGCGACTTGTTTATTATATTCTTCATTTGATTGAACAAAAGGTTTAATTGATTGAAGATAACGAGCTTTAGTTTTTTCAATTGATGGAACAGGTAATGGAGGTAATGAATCTTGATGTTTAAAAGTTTCACCTTTTATAGCGGTTGAATATAATTTAACAGGCATTTTGAAAGATGGTAACTTAGTTAATGGTTTCAATCTAAGCATGATATGGAGACTGAGAGGAATAACAGCTGGTATGTTGTTGATTGATGGTTACCGCTGAGTATTTATAATATTATGAAATGTGTTGAATGGTAAAATGGGAAAACAATGATTTAAATGATTTCAACCGATGGTATTTTAAAATTGAATTCAACCGAGTTTAATTGTGTGGGGTCAAAGGAAGTGACAGGAAGACAAGAATTGGTGGTACAATGACTATGAACAAGACAACTAGTTATTAATATGATCACTGTGACAAGACAATTTCAGTAATTATAGACTAGTTATTCTTATTCCATTGATGGTAATCATAATATTATTTGTTAATAGTTATCCTTAAGCAACAGTCATTATTTGTTTTTCCAAACAACCGAACAGTGAACAAAGAAAAACAAAAAACAAAAAGTGAACTGATGATTATTTTGTATGGGAATATAATTAATTTGACTCTGATTATAGTCACGTTCCTGAGCATGTGATGTTCATTGACTCTGTCGACACACACATCACCACATAACCATTGCCCTTTTGGGAACTCCCATCATGTTAAAAATTACATCAAAATATATTCACTTTAAACCAGTAACAAATTAGTTCATTAGTGGTTTCTATTAACAAGAATGTCGTCCAATTGTTATTTATGTGATCTCATTTTGTGACTGGTATCAATTTTCAAATCTCTGGTTTTAATTCAAAACTTTTTTAAATATGTCTTACACCATGACAACAAAGAATTTATATTATTTCATATACCACTTGAATACACTTGAATACACTTGAGTATAAAAGAATTTTCATATGTCTCATTTAAATAAACCTTCAACTCATAAGACTCATAAGAAAGATCCAACATTATTAGAAATATTAAATCATGATCCTTGGTTAAATCAATTGGATTCTTATAATCCTAAAATTAGATCAAAATTAATTACATTACAATTAATTAATCAAAATTTCCATTCAATTTCAAGATCTTTTATAAACAAACAAACTGCTCATAAAATATATCAAATAATATATTCAAAATCTCAATATTCAACCCCTCAAAATATAAATAAATATAATTATCAAATTTTAAATCAAGCACAATTTGGTAAATTTATTAAAATTTTATTTCCAAATGTTGTTACTAAAAGATTAGGTTCAAGAATAAATTCTCTTTATGTTTATTATGGTATAACAACAAAACCTCATTTAAATCAATTAGTTTCATCAATTGAACAGATTTCTCCAGTACCACAACCTCCTCCACCAAACACAATACAAGAAAATCAATTCAAATTTGAAATACCAACAACTCCAAGATCAATAACTCCAATATCACAAGATCCTAAACCTCAGAATATTATATTACCAGATGTTCTATTTGCATATTTACAAGATTTACCAATATCAAATCCCATATTAATACGATGTGATTCATTATTATTAAATTTTAAAAATTTTAATTTGATACAAATGAATAAAGATTGGTTTGAATTTGAATTTGAAATTAATAATATTTTCAAAGTTTATGATGGATTTAATTTTAAATTAATGGAAATTTTCAATACTGGATTTAATTTAAATCCTATGGAATTAGGTTTAGAATTTAATGAATTAATAAATCCATTAAAATTAAATATCTTGATATTATTATTAAATTTATATAAATCTCAACAAAAACAACAAGGATATTTAAATTATTTAGAATTTCAATTCAAAACAAATGAAATATTAATTTTATTTACAAAAAATAAAAAAATTACATTTGGAAATTTTTGGATATTAAAATGTTATTTAGATGAATTTTATAATTGGTTAATTAAAAATATATAACAATTGAAATTAATTTTAATCAGATCCAAGTCTATATCCCTTTCCTTGAAATTTTTGTCCATTACCAAATATACTACCAGATGAAATTGAACCACTAGTTGAATTATCATTTGTTGAATTTAAAGTATGAATTTTATTTTTATTCAATTGTTTTGGATTATTAACATTAATAAACTTCTCCACTATAGTCTTAAACCATTGAGGAGCTTTCATTGTTGTTTCTTCAATTTGATTTAATGTACCAACTCTATTAACATTTTGAATTCTTATACCAAAAGTTTCACAAAAATATGTATAAAGAGGACCTAAAGTCCATGATTCAATACATGCATAAACATAAGCACTGGCCATTCCTGTTAAAACAGCTAAAAATGCTATATTACCTTCTAATAATAATCTAAACCCCAAAGTAACAACTGGTAAAAGACTTGCTTTAATAGAAATGAAATAAATACTAACTTGATGATCTTTATTTGCTCTTGACCATGTATAAGTTAATGAACCTAATAAAGCTTGTTGTAATAATGGAGTTGGTAACAAAATAGAACTTATGATAATTAATGGAATTATTATAAAAAAATAAAATAAATAATCAATAAAATTATTAAAAAATTTAAATTCTTCAATACCACGACTATATGAATATAACATATAAGTATCCATTAATCCTTGCATTGGTTGAGGATTTATCACTAAGAATCCAGTAAAAGGACGCCATATTTGAAAATCATTAAATATTGAATACCAATCACAAAAAATATATGATGAAGGTAATATAGTTAATACATTAAGAAATGATGCAGTTAATGTTGATATTGTTAAAAATCTTGTAATTTTGGGGATTTGTGCAATGAATCTGGGAATGTTAGTATATATATTAATAGAGTTGACTTGCTAATACTCACTGATTCAGATCTGACATTGTCTATATGATTCTATTGTAAAGTCTAGTGGTTTTAATATGTACTCCATAATTGTTGACACCTTGTTAAAGATTGACAAATTACTTAACAATTGGTGAACTGATGGATAATTTCCGAGGGTTCTTATGCAAAAACCGACTTTTGTTAACAAATATTTAAATTTTTCTATTTCTTCTACTTCTTGATAAAGTAAAAATCCAATTGTTTGCAGCTTTTCTATTTATGTTAAAGTCAATATATTTGAAGGATTTTTGATATTTGTTGTTATATAGTATTTCCATTGGGGACTTATAATTTAATTGCTGAATGAGGTGTTCTGTTGTATCGATATGTTTTGTCATGTGTTAAGTGAAGAAGATAATTATAAAATAGTTTAAATGAAGTCATTAACATTAACTATATTTATTATAAGATAATATTCTTGAAGTATATCTTGTTTCAAATTTGATGATTGTTGATTATACATTAAACAATACAATCTCAATTTAGAATTATGATATATATGTGTGTTTTTTGATTAATTGAATATTTTTTCACTATTTAGATGTTAATGTAGTTGCAGTACAGTACTTTATATTCAACTAGCCATGGTATAAAACACTTATACAATGATCATAATTCAATATGTAACCCTTCAATTAATCAAACATCTATTGATTAAATCTCAACCGTCGAATATACAATAACTAATTCAGTTAAAGTGTTCTATAATAATTATTGATGAGATGTTTATAATTCCGAGGATTTTCAAAACTAAAACCGACTAATTTTTTGTTCAACAGTTGTTTTCAATTTTTCAATTTTCAATTTTTGTATGTAAACTATAAGCTATATTGGTAATTTTAATTATAATGTTTGTTTTCACCCAATTAATGTTATTATTTCAATCAGTTGTTGAATTTATGTGAGGCTTTAAGAAGACATCAAGTAATTATAAGAAGAATGGATTCGAGTACTTCTGGCTAGATATTTGAAATGTTTTAGCAAACCTGGATATATACCTAAAATTTCGTGTATTGGGCATCGTATAATATAGTTCTGGTGTACAGTTGTACTTTTCATAAAATTATAATTGATTTTGATCTGATCTATATATTTTTTGAAAGAATATTCATAAGATCTTGAGAAAATGAAATCATTAATACAATATGTTAAAGTATATCTGTTTTAAAATTGATGATTGTTGGATTAAACAATACAGTCTCAATTTAGAATTATGAATATATGTGATCGGTTTTTGACTAATTGAATGAATTCTTCTTATTGACAATATTATATGATTGTAGTGATTACCAGTTATATATGGGAGATCATGTTGATGAAATACATTAATTAATGCTATATTTTTAATTGATTATAAGATCAATTATATGAAATTTATTAATTATATAAATTTAATCAACATCAATTCTCAAAATTTATTAAACGTAAATCAACCAATTCGTCACATATTGCAGTATACTAATATTTATAATATATAATTAGTTGACGTTACATGAAAAGATCAAATATTCAAATTACTATAGTGTTTCATATTCGATAAGAGTCCGGTATATATCAAGAACTAGCTAGAAATACAACATCCAAGTCTTTTTAATCAAACATCAATATATATATATATATCCCCTATATCTGGAAACTTTAATTCAATATTCCTAGCTCTCATCCATCTTTGATTAACCAATTATCACAACATGTTGTGTATTTATTATCGACTATATATTCGTTGAATTAATTTTGACTCAATTAAGGATTTAACTAGTTCATGTACCGATGGTCCATAAATAAAACCCTATTCTTTCCCGTTGTTGTTACTTCATTATTATTTGGCACAGTTTTGGCTTCATATTTTGGTTGTTTTTTAACGTCGTGGAAGCGGTGAAATTATCAAAATTTTCTTAAAATTCTGATCCCTAACATGGTATCATCTACTAATTCTAAAACATCTAAAGCATCCAAAGTAGCTTCAACACGTCTAGTAAATGAACTTCTTACACTAATTAAACCGAATTTTTGCTCAATTAATATATCAAATATATCAAATTACAATCACAGGAGCTACACAATTGCAAACTATTGTTTGATTCAAAATAACATGTTGGGGTGACCAGAACTTATTTATATTTGTAACATGAATTATTATTTGTTATCTTCATGCAGTACTGAAATCATTATAATTACAATGTGTTAAAGTATATATCCTGTTTTAGATAATTGATGATTGTTGAATTAGTTACAATACAATCTCAATTTAAAATTATGAATATATTGTGTTTTTTCATGAAGTTTAGATCAAATTGTAGTGATTAAATTTCTTTATTATAAACGTCTTGTTCAACTATTGAGTTGTTAACAGATTAGCCGCTGTGTAAATTCAAAAAGCTTTACAATTGTTTAGCATTGAATATGGTAATTATATACTGCATATACAATACACATCATTAGGATCTTTTCTCGTACATTTTCATATGTTTCGACATGAATCGCAAGGAATTCATCAATCTATGTCTTCCATATATTAGATCTTCATCACTTGACATGTCTGAATCATCTTTTAAATTTCCTTCTCCTTCTTCTGTATCATCTTCCTCTTCTGTAATATATTTACACAACTGATAATCAAATCTTTGCATCCTTCTTGAAAAGGATAATTCTTCATTTTGAAATAATTCATTTCTTAAAACAGGTTCATCATCATTATAACCTTTAGTGAAAATTAAAACATCATTTGTAACATGATCATGAAATTGAGGTATTAATTTAGTTAATTCCCAAGGATTTGTATTTTTAAAATTAATATCAATCCATGATGATAATTTGGTCAATTGACTTACAAACCATTTTTTAGTTTGTGGATCAGTTTCAATATTTAAACCTGATTGATTGATTATAATAAAACTTGGATATTCATTAATCTTGGATAACAATTTTTTTTCAGTTTTCAATCTATTAGTACGTCTCCTTTCAAAAAATGAACCATATGATTGTTGTTCTTGGTTTAAATATTTAATAATATCAATCATTGGAATTGTTTTTTTCTTATATATTGTAATACAACCATTATGAAATTTATCCTTTAATACAAATCTAATCCAATTTTTAATAGATTGAGGTAAATTTGAAACATTCTTTGATGCTTTTTCCGTAATTTGAACTCTTAATTGAATAACATCATATAAATTATCCAAATCATCAATTGGTTTAACAATTTTGGTAATTTTTTGGAATTTTTCATCAATTGAATCAATTGAATTAAATAATGATTTTAAATAAATATTTGAATCACAATTGATAATCATATAATATTTAATTTTTTTGTTGATGTGTCTTTAAAAGTTGGTAATAAATATAATTCTAAATTATTTGAATCTTTTGAAGGTATTCCAGTTTTTAACTTTGCTTGGAATTGTACAAAAAATTGATCATTATAAATCTTTGGTTCATTTGATGATGTTTGTGTATAATATTTCATTATTGATTATTGATAATATATCAGTACCATACATTATATGAACAACAACATAACGTTAAAACCTTCAATAACACTTAAAACTTTAAATATTATACTTTTGATCCTTGATTTTAAGCGCACCAAACTCTAAATTATATAAAATTTCTCATTTCATAATATTCATTATTGATTTTTTATTATCTAATATCATTTAAACTTTCTGAATGAAAATCAAATATCCCTTGAATTTTTCTCATATCCAAATAAAATTTTTTGTAAACTGATTGAATAGCAATAAATTTCCACATGTGCTTTGATGTTTTTCATAATCTATACTTTTGTGATTTTATCGTTACACTAATAAACCTGTGCAACATTTTGATCCAATATTACATTTCAGGGGTCAACTAGTATATGTGACATAATTGATCAATCTTTGGTTTGTTTTTGGAATTGAAAGACAATCAATTGTTTAATGTTAATCCTTTAATAATACATGTGAATACAATGGAATATGTGTGTATCTGAGATTACGATTCCCTGTTTCAATTGATATTCATTATATTCCTTTTTGATTATGTGTTCAGTGTTTAGTAGTCAATTGTAGTATCACCGTACAACAAATTACTAGTCGCGAAGAATTTTAAAAGAATTAGAATCTTAAAAATTTCAATCCCACCTCTGACAATGATTCATTGTCGATAACTTCATTATACCATGTTGAACTCAAGCTTTTTGTTATCACTTTCATATGTTGGGAGTTTTCCTCTTGATCCAAAACCAAAATGAGGAAATTGAATTTACAGCTATTTGTTGAATGAAATTCCGAAAATAATTGAAGAATCCAGCAATTTTTAACAGCTCTTTTGCATTAATTGGGAAGGAATCCATTGTTATATATGCAGTACATCTAATTGATTCAACTGATAATTTAATATAATTCAAAGTTGATTACCATTGACTAGTTTGTACTGTTTCAATACATATTCAGTTATGTTAAGAGTAACTCATTGATTGTTGAAACAAACATTCATGGATTCTTTAAATCATAACTGTTTCAATTTTTTTCATGAATCCAGATTATAATGATGTAGATTAATTATTCACTGATATGATATCATTTTGAAAGTTAACTATATTAGCAGCTGTTATATTAAGCCATTAAGTTGAACCAATTACTGTTGTAGTATATAATTAAGAAGCAGCACCAATGACTTTATAAGTTGTACCAGTTGAAGTAAAACACTCTGTTCTTTTTGTGATATAACATTAGACTCATATATATCATAATTTAGTTCATTATATACAAAAGTTTGATTTATTAATTAAACATGATTAATTCGAGCTTAGTTTAATTTGTACTTTTGTTATATATAGCATGACGTTATAATTAATTTAACGCGCGTCTCAATGTTTGGTAAATTTGTAGACGACGTACAGCTTAAACTAGTCGCGTCGACGCTATAATTCAAAAATAAAATTATAAAATTTATTTTTTAAAATTTCCATTAATTTCTATAGTTATCAGTCAACAGTCAAAGTCGACTTAATGTCTTCTTTAAACATGTTGAGTAACTCGTCTCCCTTGGTAAACGTTTCAGTGATCGTCCACTTCATATTGGAAAAGTTCTGGTTAAACTGCGTTCTTGTTTTCCACGCGTCGTTCGATAAAAATCCATTGATGAATGATATCTTGATTGAATTTTATATTCTTATATCAAGTTCATCCATATATAATGCAGATTACAAAATATACACTGATCAATCAATTGATATATGATAAATTTACTATATTGATTTGATCGCATGCATTTTTCACCATTAAAGTTATATCGTAGACTCTAGATCAGTACGCGTAAAGTTGATTTAATTATAATATTATCTATTATTTCAAAACTCAAAGCTCAATACAATCTATACACTAGTAGTTCAATATCTTCCATCATGTTCAATTGATTCATAACTAGGCGGTCCATAATCTTCATCACCAAGGGCTATATCTTCAATATATTTACACAATTGATAATCAAATCTTTGAATCCCTCTTGATAAAAACAATTCAAAATCTTCAAACAATTCAACTTTTAATCCCTGATCATAACCTTTTGTGAAAATGAAAACATCATTTGTAACTATTTCTAATAATATACGACTTTGTGGAATCAATCTAGTTAGAACCCAAGGTTTTGTGAATTTGACATTAATATCAATCCATGATGATAATTTGGTTAATTGATTTAGAAACCATTGTTTAGTTCGTAAATTTGTTTCAATTTTTAAACCTGATTGATTAACTATTATAAAACTTGGATATTCATTAATTCTGGATAATAATCTTTTTATTATAGTTATCCTGTCGTTAGGTCTTTGATCATCTAATCCACCATATAATTGTTGTTCTTGGCCTAAATAATTAATAATATCATTCATTGGAATTGTTTTTTTCTTATATATTGTAATACAACCATTATGAAATTCATCCCTTAATACAAATCTAATCCAATTCTTAATTGAAATAGGTAAATTTGAAACATTTTTTGATGATTCAGGTGTAATTTGAACTCTTAATTGAATAACATCATAGAAATTATCATAATCATTAGTTGGTTTAACAATTTGTGTAATTGTTTGCAATTTTTCATCAATTGAATAATCTGGATTGAATAATGATCTTGTATAAGCATTTAAATCAGAATTAATAATCATATTTTGTTGTTTTGATGGGTGTTTATTAGTTGGTAATAAACATAATTGTAAATGATGTGAATCTTTTAATGGGATTCCAAGTTTGAATTTTGATTGATAAAGTTCATCATCATAAATTTTTGGTTCATTTGAGGAAGTTTGAGTATAATATTTCATTATATTGATTATTGGTTATATCAATTCATATTTCAAGTTGTATAAACACATGATCATGGATATTTAATGTATTATATCTTCATTATAACTATTCATCAATTTGAGAACATAACTATTAAACCTCTCATAATTGATTGATCTTTTTTGAGAATTATTAGAATATATGGTCCTATCAAATTCAATAGCTCAAACCTAGATGTATTATCTAATACTGATTAACGATTCTCAAAAAAAAAAACAGAACCCAATTTCTTTGTAATATTCTCATAATATCCCAATTATAAATTAATCACTTGATATCAAAAACATATGAAAAATATAAAGAAATATTATATCTCAGACGTATCTCAGTTATTAGTTATTAGCAGTAAATCATCGACGAAGCATATAATATGATAAATTCACTATTGTTTCTTCTGTACACTGTTGGATCAAATAATGCTTGAGATGAATCCTATGTTGGTAATTAATCAATCATTGATTTGTTTTTGAGATAGCAATCAGTTGTTTAAGTTAATCATTCAATAATACATGTGAATACAATGGAATATGTGTGTATCTGAAATTATGATTCCCTAGTTCAATTGATATTCATTTTGGCTCTTTTTAATCAAATATATTCTAAATCAATCGTAGCACCTAACAAATTTCCAAGTCGCGAAGAATTTCAAAGGGGTAAAAATTCTAATTTCCTAACCTTTTTCTAACTTTTACCATATAGCAGGGTCCCTTACTTTTCGAGTGATATTTACCTTTTGATGAAACAATGTATACACCAATGTCGTCTTTTAAATTGTGGAATGAAATGTCTGAGATCAGTTTTCAAAAGATTATAACAAAGTGGATATCTTTGGAAAATTTCATAACCCATGTAATGATTTTCTGGTGAATCCTTATTTGATCAGTGTTAAATTTACCTCCATCAATGAGTTAGGTCAGCTTGTCTGCTTCGTGCATTGGGAGTTATATGTTTTGACAGCCCCTTTGCAAAATCCATTGATGAATGATATCTTGATTGAATTGATTTATATATTCTTATATCAAGTTCATTCATATATAATGAGATTCCAAAATATACGTTGATCAATCAATTAATATATAATCATATTTTACTATTGATTTGATCAATTGACTAATTTTTTACAAGCTACATTACCATAATCCACTGTAGTATATACTATATACGCGTAAAATCATAGATATGTATATTCCGACCTTCTTCCACGTGAAATCCACGTGATCTAGTTTACCCTCGTATTACCTTTCTAGACCGCTTTCTTATCTTGAAATTTCGCATTTGTATATACTATACACAATTTTTTTGCCAAATGACCATAATCGCGATTCATACATAGAATTTCTTTAAATTTCTATACATAATTATAGAAATCACATTTGAAACATTAATTCAAATCAGATGATTGTTATAAACGTATTCATGATAACTTCTATCACCGACACAATAAACTTCAACGTTCCCGTATTTCAATGTAGATCAATTAAGCAATTTGTAATCGTTTATAGCCATATACGTTGATCCTCGTGGGCCAAATGGGGAACTTCTACTGGTTGTGTCAATTTACTCACACGTGTGGATTAAAGGCAACCAAGCAGCTAGACATTAACAATAACAGCTAGAAGATAATAAGACGATGTTAACAATAGAGCACTGATTGTGATATAAAGTGTTCAAGTCACCTATAGTAGTTATAAGCTGACATATTATTCGACGTTTCGTATTCATTTGCTGATCACGCACTGTTAAAATCACATGTGATTCAAATTATTATCAAGAAAGTTCAAATTCAAACTGAGCTTAATTCCTTCGCCAATGTCCCTGTAACAGCCGTTATTGACACAAAATAAAGCCTGGAATCAACTGATCAAGAATATTTACTCCATTCAAACAACTTCTATACTTTACAAAACTTTCTAAACGGTATTTATTTCACAATTTCCACGTGCTAATCTATTACTATTCTTCCACCTATCGTATACCCGTGGTACGCCCACTCCCTCATCAATGCATCCACTTAAAATTTCCAGAAAATCCATTCTAATACGGTCTGTGTATAAATATTATGCTCATCCCATATAGAAATTTTTTTTCACTTTTGTATGTAGAAAATACTCTTTGAACATATTCTCAATAACAAAACAGTACTGTACCCACTGTACACCACTGCTTAGTGTACGTCAACCCCCCTACTATACACATCCCACATCATGTCTGCAGTTACTAGAGATATCCCTAAAACTCCAAAACAATTTGCATATAATTGGATCCCAAGAATACGTAAAGAAATTACATTAACAAAAGATCAACAATCATTAGCTGAAACTGAAGAAGAATATAAAGTTCGTCTTGAACAAGCTGATTCTTTAGGTAAATTTAAAAAATATTTACCAATCATAACAACTGGTGCTGGTTTATTTTCTGATGGTTATGTTAATAACTCTATTGGTACTGCTTCAACTTGTTTAAAATTATTATATCCTGATGAATATGGTAATTCAACAGCTATAAGTAATGTCACTTCAATTGCTTTTGTTGGTACCGTTGTTGGTATGTTAATTTTTGGTGTTGTTTCAGATTATCATTCAAGAAAATTTTCAATGATGGTTGGTACTGGTATTTTAATTATTTTCACAATTTTATGTTCAGGTTCTTGGGGTTATAAAGGTTCTATTCATGGTATGCTTGCTGCTTTAACCGCTTTTAGATTCTTCTTGGGTATTGGTATTGGTTCTGAATATCCAGCTGGTTCAACTGCTTGTGCTGAAGCTTCTGCTTTATTACCACCTGGTAAAAGAAATCGTTGGTTTTGTTGGTTTACAAATTTTATGATTGATACTGGGTTTGTTGTTAGTGCTTTTGTTCCAATGGTATTACTTTGGATTTGTACTCCAAAACATCTTGAACCTGTTTGGAGAGTTTCAATTGGGTTAGGTGCAATTCCTCCAATTTCTTTATTTATTTTACGTATTTTCTACAAGGAAGGTGAAGTTTTCAAAAAAACTCAATTCAAAAAAGTTAGAGTTCCATATTGGTCAATTTTAAAATTTTATTGGTTTAGATTAGCTATTGTTTCAATTATTTGGTTTATTTATGATTTTAGTGCTTATGCATTTGGTTTATTTTCTTCATATGTTATTTCAGGTTTATATGATTCATCAGATTTATATAAAGTTTTCGGTTGGAATGTTGTTTTAAATTTATTTTATATTCCAGGTGCTTTCTTAGGTGCTATTGCTTCTGATTATTTAGGTCCAAGATTAACTTTAGTTATTGGTGTTTCATTACAATCAATCATTGGTTATATCATGGCTGGATGTTTTGAATCTTTGAAGAAACATGTTGCAGGTTTTGTTGTTGTTTATGGTATCTTCATGACTTTAGGTGAATTTGGTCCAGGTGATAATATTGGACTATTAGCTTCTAAAACTTCATGTACACCAATTAGAGGTCAATATTATGGTATTGCAGCAGCTATTGGTAAAGTTGGTGCATTTATTGGTACTTATTGTTTCACTCCATTAACTGAAAAACATGGTACTCAATCAGCTTGGTGGTTAGCTTCTTCATTAGGTTTATTAGCTGCCTTCTTGGCTTTATTTTTATTACCTCCAGTTGATCAATCTGCTATGCAAGCTGAAGATGCAAAATTTTTAGAATATTTAAGTTCAACAGGTTTTGATATTAGTCAATTAGGTGATGGTGAATCAATTAATGGTGAATCTGAATCTATTGGTGAAAAGACAAATATTATTCAAAAAGTTGCTGAAAAAGATGGTGCTTCATCTTTAGAAAAAATTAGTTCATAAGAATTTTGTAAACATATTTATATAGTATATTATGTATAAAGATCTACGTTGTGGTGTTTTTCTGTCTTTTTAATGTTTAATTCTAATTCAATACATAATTCAATTACAAAGATGTTTTAGGATCTGTAGATATTTATACTTGATTAAATCCATCTTTAGCATTTAATAATCTAATCATTATTCCCTTTGTTTCACCATCATAATATCCATTCAAAATAACATCTCTCTTTGGGAACCCAAACTCAGGATAACCATAATGTCCTTTCAATACATCTTCATTCAACTTTACAGGTTTATTATACCAACTTGTATGAATCGTATGATCTTTTAAAGCATCACCACTATTTGGATGAATCAATATTGATAGACTTGGATGTTGTAATTGTATCCATGAATAAAATTTTGCAAAAAGTAATGGGTTTTCAAGATCAACTTCAAAAAATGAAGAGAAATGAGGTCCTGTTATTGAATCTGATTTTAAAAATTTGATAATTAATTCATCTGAGTCAATTTCTTGTTCGAAATCTTTGAATATAGAGTTCTTTAAATTGATTGCCTCTTGTTTAGATTCTTGATTGTAATAGATATGGAAATCATAGGATTTTATAGGTTCAAAGAATGTCATTGTTTAAGGCCTTCTGTGATATAAGATATTAAACAGATCCGGTGACTTGGATTCAGTTTAGTTGACTGTTGAATTGTTGAAATCTGCAAAAGATTAGTGATGGTATAAACGTTTATCTTTTATACTCGTAAACTGTGGCGCGTTATGCATCGGGTAAATAAATCTCAATTTACGAACAATAAAGAAACAGGAAACATAATCAGTTGATAATAGCAGCTACAGAATAAATGGATCAGTGAATATTCAAATCAGATGCAGTTAAAATCATACAGAGGTATTATGATATTCATGGATATATCAAATCCATCATTATAAGCTAAAGTTAAATATAGCATAAATAATAAACACCCAGACACCACTAGGGAAAAGAGCGGTTCAGGACGGTAAAAAGATTTTATACGTGTATAAGTACTAATTTATCAACTTCATCAACATTTAATAGACTTCTTAAAGACCACAAACAAAAATGAATGAAGAAAAAGATATAAAGTTTAGAAGAAATTATAAGGCATGCTTGAACTGTCGAACAAGGAAAGTCCGATGTGATTTGGGACCTGTTGAATCGCCTCATGATCCACCTTGTGCTAGATGTCGTCGTGAACGGAAAGAATGTGTATTTGCAGAGTCAAGAAGAGGTGGTCAACCAAAAACTGGTGTTAAAAGAAGACAAACAGAGTCTGTATCGGCTACTCCAGATCCTGTATCAGCTGCTCAGACTAGAAATAATTCTGTTGGTGAAACTGTTAAACCTTCTTTACAAAGTCTGACTCAAGCTGCTCAGTTTTATCAACAACAAGAAAAACTACAAAATGTTCAACAACAACAACAAACTTCAAGTCAATATCATAGTCAATTACAAAGCAGACAAAACTCATCACAATCTGTGTCACAAAGATCTCCAGAAGAAAATCAAATTCCACCTCCTCCAACAAGACCTTCAGATTTAACATCTATTCAAGGTGCTTTAGTATTTTTAGCAAAAGCCGCTGGTACAATAGCAAAAGCTGATGATCGTGATAATATAAATGCAAGAGAAATCCATGAAAAATTTGATGATCAAGACTCTTCAAATTCATCAATTACAAATTCAAGAGCAAATTCAGCCGTTGTTAATAATAATAATAACAATACACAAAGTAATGGACAAGATGATGATCAATATGAAAACTCAGTTATAGCGCCATTGATTAGACCTCATGGTAAGAAACCAACTTCAATGCCACCAATATCTAAAACTGCTAATGTTCATCCAAATCCATCAAAAAGACTTACTGATATCGAATATATTGGACCAAATAAAATGTTATCAGAATTTGAAGCTGAAAGATTAATCAAATTATTCTTCTTAACAATGCATCCATTTTTCCCACATATTCCAACTCAATTACATGATCCTCAAACTTTACCACAATATCCAATTTTATTATGTGCTATATTAACAATAAGTTCAAGATATCATCCTTTAGAGCCAATTAATTCTGCTCAAGTTAATAAAAATTCTAAAAATGTTCAATTACATGAAAGATTATGGATTTATTGTCAAAGATTAATTTCTCAGACTGTTTGGGCTGAAGCTTCAACAAGATCTATTGGTACAGTTTTAGCATTCTTATTATTTACAGAATGGAATCCAAGAGCTATTCATTGGAGATGGTCAGATTATGCAAATAATAAAGATGATATGGGTCCTGAAGGTCCTGAGCTTCATAACAATGAAAATTCCAATGATGATGGTGAAGGATTAGCAGGTCTTGGTGCAATGAGAAGAAGTGATAGAATGGCATGGATGCTTGTGGGGACAAGTGTTCGTCTGGCTCAAGATATGGGGTTCATTAATAGTTCAAGTAAAATTTTCATTGCAACTCATATTGCAGAAACTCATACAGCTATGAATATTGGTCAAAGAAGTATGTTGGCTCAAAGTCTTGGTGAAATTGATTTAGATAATGAAGATGATGATGAAGTTGTTGATAGTAAAAAACAATTTCAAAATGATGAATTAATTTTAAGTCTCGATGAAGATTATTTATTAAGAAATAATAGTCAAATAAAGAAAAATACTTTAAAATTTTCCATGATGCAAAAGGCTAAATTAGAATTATTAAAAATCATGAGTTTAGCTTATGAAACTCTTTATTGTGGGAAATATCAATTAAATGGTAATAATCAAATTCAAAATTTAACTGCATTAAGTATTTTATCACCATTAATTGAAAATTGGTACAAAAGTTATAAAAAATTATTAAAACCTTCAAATCCAAAAAATTTCAATCAACATTGTAATGTAATGCAAGCTGATAATATTAAACATGTTAATGATGTCACAAAACAAGTTGATAAAGAATCATTGATTTGTGATTATTACTATACTCAATTATATATTTATTCATTAGCATTAACAATGGAAAATACTCAAATTAATCAAGAATCTGGTAAAAAACAATCAAATAATTTTAGATTAGATGAAATTTCAAAAGCTGCAAAATATGTTGAATTAGCTTATAATGCTGCAAAGGAAACTTTAACTGCTGCAATTAGAGTCCATAAATTGAAAATGTTAAGATATATGCCAGTTAGATGGGTAACAAGGATTGTTAGATCAGTTGCATTTATTGTTAAATGTTTTTTAACATTAACAAATAATAACAATAATAATAATTCAAATCAACTTTCAAATAATAATGGTTCAGTATTAAATCCACAAGCATCAACGATTTTAACATTATCAATTATTCCAACTGAAGAAATTATTCAAACAATTCAAAAAGCTGCAATTGTACTAAGAGAAGCATCACCAGATGAATTACACCTTTGTACTCGTTATTCCACAATTTTAATGTATTTATGTTCAGAAATGAAATATAGATCAAAATTATCAATAAATCCACCAAATTTAACAAAATTATCTGCAGATAGTGATGAAGAAGATGAACAAAATCAAGTTTCAAATGTTGATTTACAACAAGATCAATCACATGGATTAAATAATAATGATATTCCAATGGGTCAAGAACAACAACAATCACAACAATCAACTGAAAATTTGAATAATCAACAATTACCAAATATGTATAATTTTGGATATCCATCAAATTCTGAACAAGCTCCATTACCAGATGCTGTTGTTGATTGGTTTTTGAAAAATGATGAAGCTATTGGTTTAGATTTTGTTGAACCTTGGACTGAAATGATTGAACAACATTTAGATAAAAAGAAAAATTAATGATGTATTTATGTTTTTTTTTTTTGCATTCACATTATAATACAATTTCTATCACCATTACCATTTCGTAGTTTTAATTTTTTCATTTTGGAATTAGTTGGAGTAGATTTTGATCTTTCAATCTTGGAAAATAATGAATCTGGTTTATACAAATTATATTCTGATCTTATTGAACCAAGATGAGTTTTAATTGTATTTGTTTTCGATAAATTTTCTGAAGCTTGAATAGTTGTTTGATTACTTTGAACAAACTTAATTGATTGACCTTCATGTTCATGATAATTTGAATTACCATTGAATTCAACAACGTTTAAATCATCACCTTCATTTAATTCATCATCATCAAATTCATCATCTTGATTATTTGTTTTCTCTAAAATAACGTCATAAAATAATATTTTATGTTCATATTTCATCATTTCTATAATATCTCGTAGATCAAATAATTCAATATTATCCATTCTGAAATCTTCATCATATAATAACCAATCATCACTTATACCATCTTCATCATTCTGTCTTATGGCAGTTCTTTTATTTTGTTCATCATCTTTAAATAATATGGTATTCAGTACCATTTTATATCTCATATTCAATTGCCCTGAATGAGTTGTAATTGTTGACGGTACATATTCAACTGAATCTATTGAACTTTCATCGGAATAAATACTATCAATATCATGTTCTTCTAGTTCACCTTTGTTTTCTTCATCATAATTTTCTCCTTCCTCTTCCTCTTCTTCTTCTTCTCCAGATTCTTTGGATTCTATTTGTACAATGGGTTGTTGTTCATTTGAAAGATTATTTGGTGTGTTTGGTACATGTGTTGAAGAACCTTGATCTAACTCATCAATACCTTCATCATTTTGTATAGTGGAAACTCTTGTTAATGAATATTTTGGACTTGGTGGTAATGAAACCGAAGGATGGAATGAATCTATAGAACTTTCATTCTCATCTATTTCAACAGGGGTTGGTATTTTATCTTCAGAATTGATTGATGGAATATAATCAGATTCACCAGAGATGACTGAATTCAGTTCAATAGTTTGATTATAATTGGCTATATCACCAAAAGTAGCATCTTCTGGAATGTGAGTATGAGTAGCAGCCATTATTATAGAGGACCCAGAACCTTTCAAAGGTCCAAAATTCGTCAAGCATATCTCTAATCTATTATCATCTTGTTCATGATCACCATTAGCATTGAAGAACTTGGTCAATAATTCTCTAATCAATGCCTCATTGTTCAGGAAATTGGGCACTGTGATCATGATCTTGATATCTCCATCTACTGAGTCAACTACCTCGTTCAGCTCATTTCTAAAGACCTTATTGTTGGTGATGTTTTCGAATTCTCCATTGATCAAGTTATTCAAATACCAATTCCAAATTTCGTTATAATGACGAGTTGTTGATGCGGAAAAGTCTCTGTGTATGAAAGTTGGCTCTCTGGACATGATACATCCATCGTCAGCTCGTGAAACCTGCTCTTGAGTCTTCTGTCCAACTAAAAGCTCTTAATCGTAGACTTTCTGTGTGGCAAATTGCTTCATTTTCAATTGTTTTGTTTTGTTTTCCTTGTAAAGCGCTTAATTTTGATTGAGATATTTTTTTAAAGGCCCATAAAACCCGCGATATTAAAATTTGGTTACAAAGGGTTCAAAATCAAGGAAAAGCACCCCACGATTTATCAAGTCAAAGGCATCGAATCTTGAAACTCGAGGCTGAATAGAATCACCTTATCTGTGCATTGGAAGTGGAATTGGAACACTACTACAATGGAAATAGTGGAAAGTTGCTTACGACTTGAATTGTTTATATATTAAGTTTATATGAGCGAATTGAAAAGTTCTTTAAGATCATGTATATATGCTTTATAAATATCTATTCATTCCCACTTGGTGAATACATGATTTGTGTAATGAATTTCCCTGAATAACGTGTTGTACAAGCAACACTCAAGACATTATTCTTAATATTTGAAGTTAATAAATGATTTAAATTAACATGAGGTATAATATGTGAATTTAAACCTGATGATATTATATTATTCTTATTTTTCTGTAATTGAACATCTTGTAAGTTTGAATTATGATGTTTGTTGAAATGATTATTCAAGACGTTATTATTTAAATAAATTGGTAATTCAGGTATTGGATTTCTTCTTAAAAATTCTTCATCAACTGGTAATATTTCATCACTTTGATGAAACATCACAGGAATCTCTTGTGAATATTCTCCTGTGGATTGTTGATATTCAGATATAGATAGTTGAGAGTTTGTATGATCTTGATTATGTGAATGATGATTATGATGGAATGAAGCTGTTGATTTATTTTTATTACTAATAATTTTATCTTGTTCAATTATACCAGCTTCGAAAACATTAGAATCATTTTCATCAACTTCAAACCAATTAACAACATTCCCAGATTTATCAGTAGCAATTGGTAAGTTTTCACTATATCTTACATCATCATTAACCAGAAATTTAACTTTATAAATACCGAATGGTAATCCAATGAAAATTTTATAAATTCCATCATTTGGATCTTTATGTAGTTTAATTTTTTTAGACCATTCATTAAAATTCCCAATAATAAATACTTGATCTTCTTCAATTTGATTAATTTTATCTTTTTCATTTATATCTTCATAATGACCAGCATCATGATTTTGAGATAAATTTTCATCATAATTAACAAATTTGATTAAAACATTTTTCATATCAGTATATTCACTATGAGTTAAATTCTTAGAAGTTTTATTAATTAAATCTTCATCAATATCATAATCATCATCTTCATATGATCCACCACTCATAATATCACCATTATTATGAATATTATTTGAACCTGATGCTGCAGAATTTGAAGTTGTAGAATTTAATCTTGAATCAATATTATGATCAATATTATTGAAATAATCAGTATCTGCAGTATTTTCATAGAAAATATTTGGTGATACTATAGCTTTGGGTTTATATGGAAGTGGATAACCATTTTCTGTATTAACAGGAATTGTTAAATTTTGAGTAGCTGCTGTATTACTGTTATTTTTTTGTTGTTTATTTACATGATTTCCTATTGATTTTGTCTGATCTTTTGATCTTTTAGACATTGATGATTTCCTTTTGACATTGTTTGGTATTGAAGTATTATTCCCCATTCTCTAATATAAGTTTCTTTGTTTATGATGTCTTTGAATTATAAAAACTTGTAAAATATTAGCGACAATGCAACCTTCGCGTTCTAAACTTGAATTAATTCAGCTAAACCCAATTCTTTATGAACCACTTTATACCAGCAATAACCCACTCTATATTTTGACTTTAATACTGATCGATGCTATCAATTGATCTTCTTTATGGAATGTGATTGTAACTTGTGAATTATAATATTGTGTGATTTTTTTTGCTATCATTTTAAAATTCATTCAAATATTATCCCCATAAATTAAAATATCCAGGCTGCAAAATTTAAAAAATTGCAAATTGCAGGAAAATCGAAAAATCTGGAAATTCAAACAAGCTGTAAAAAACTTTAACTTTGTTGAAAATTGCCAAATTAGGAAATAATGGTCAAGATTAACGTAAATTTAAGAAAATTTGCGAGAAGTTGTGCATAAGTTCCCGAATTCGGTAATCCCTGGTTTTGTAATTTGAGAAAAATGATGTCATTTGACACTTTGATTATATAATTGTTACATAATTCACGAAATATTCTGTCATTTCTTACAGGTGAAATTATAAATATGGTATAAACTTCAAAATTATCAACACTATAAATACTTTAAAAAAACTCCTCAAACGAATGTTATAAACAACTAAATTAACTCTAATATATAATTACAAACTATTAATTTTAATAATATAATGCACTTCAAAAACAATGTAAAACTTAAAAACAAAAAAAATTATTCTATCTAAATCTAAACTTTCAATTTCACTATGACCCCCAAATTATAAACCTTTCAAAACAATATAATCAAAAACACAAATACATGCAATCTATTTTACACGTCATAATACTCATTATCTTCTGTTAAACCACTGCCATCGAACTAATTGTTATTTCTCTTCTTCTTAATAGCAGCTCTTCTTTCTTTTCTTAATCTTCCTTGCATCATTGAATAAGTTGCTCTTTTAACAACAGTTTCTAATAAATTTTTAGTCATTGATGGATATTTTGGATTGACTCTATTATATAACTCTTCAATTAAGAATCTTCTATATTCTTCGTTTGTATCTCTAATCCAAGTTTTATAACCTAATGGGAAACCTAATTCATCTTGGAAAATTTTTAAGATGAATTGTTCAATTTTAATTGTTTCATCTAATGATGAAGTTTGTAAGATTTCTCCTAATTTTTGTAATGATAATCTTGAATCCAAGTTTTTCTTAATTGATGATGATGAAGATGATGGTGAATTTGATGAAGACATTGAAGAAATTGATAAATTACGTCTTGTTGTATTGATATTATGATTGTGTAAAAGATTATTTTGATTGGCATTGGTTATTGGAGATGAAATTGATGATGCTAATGATGTAGGTGTATTTGGTCTTGATTGGAAATCCAAATTTTGTTGATTATGATATGGATTTGATGTGAAAGATAAATTATTTGTATTGGAATTGTTTAAATTTGGAGTTCTTTGATCAAAAACTAATGGTGACTCGATTGATTCTAAAGGTGATGAGAATGAATCTAAATAGTTCAATGCATCATCATTCTTCAAAAAGCTATTGATATCAAATGTTTCCTCGGTTTTGACTAATGGTTCAGGTTGAGACGTTATATTTGATGATTGAAATTGATAATTTATGCTATTGAATGATGCTGATGACGATGATGATGCTGATGGAGATGATATGGATGTATTTGTTAATGAATCTTTTGATAGTATTTGGTATAATTCATTATTAAAATCTGAATTTTTCGTTATTTGATCTTGGGTATTATTATCTTCATCTAATGGAATACTGAATTTTTCCAAGTCAATATAACTATTGATAAAATCATGATCATTTGTGATGGTGTTGAAATCTGTATAGTTGAATGAATCAAAGTCCATTATGATTATAGTAAGACGTTCTGTTGTATAAGTTTGTTGTATGATATTGTTTCAAACTTTCAATTAGATCACCAGGTACGATCTAATATTTTTTTACAAACTAGACATATTCCATTATACTTATATTTAAACTTCACTATATAGGACGGTGACCAAGATTGCATTACTTTTCTTTTTTGACATAAATTAGTAGATGTAACTCTTACATGCAATTTGCAAAAAAAAAATCTCGTCTTTTTCGATAAACGCAGTTTGTAAAATACTAGATTTGAACGAATGCATGTTTCCTTGGTTTAATGTTTCTTAAAATAATTTGATTTGGTAGAACAACTTTTATTTAACTTGTAAAACTGATACTAATGTACTTCACGTATATGTACCTATATGCACTTACTGATATGCATTAAAGTTCAATTCTGAAACGACAGATTTTTACATAAATTCCACAGTATAATCATGCAAGTTAAACCATTATATTTTTACAGTCCTTTTTAAGATAATTTATTGAGTATTAAACGCTTTCCCGCCTAAATCTAATGGAAGTTCGGAAATCTGTAAACTATCAATTTGAAAGTTCCGCCTAAACCCAGGAAAAAAAAAGTTAATCTTCCAAATTGTTCCCTCCTAAAACGGTGCTACAACCGGTTTTGGGACCTGCACTGGCAGTTCCGATTACTAAGCATCCGCCTAGATCTTGGTAATCGCAATGAGAGGCCTGCCCAGCAGCCAGCTACGCTAGCTCATTACTAGCTTAGGCTCATCAAGTAGAATTCATAACAGTACGTAACACTAGTTGTTCAAACTTCATACTACATCTTAAACATAAATCAAAAGAACATTTAATCAAAAATTCAAATAATACAAAAATTAGCTGTATAAAACTGGATGGTCTAATATCCAGCTCTATTATATTGTCATTCAATAAAAAAAAAATCAGTATAAGTTTTATTGATTTCGGACTTTATTGCCTTTAATTTCCGAAACCTCTGCCTAAGTGTATCCAGCGCAGAACATTAATATTCTAACTTTCCCTCTGCTCTGCCTAATTCTTACTGACTCTGCCTAGCTGAGCTCAATTTTTCTTTTGGTGTTATTGCTTCCCACCCTGTATACCATACTTCTCTAGCTCTTCTTTACTAACATCTTGTCTCCATGAACATGTATTACACTTCAATTGTTTACCCCAATACATTGGAATAATTGGAATGAACCAAACACTAATGAATTCTTTTCTTTTAACAGGTTCAACATTTTGGTTATGACAATTTGGGCATGTTAAATTTGATGGATATCCATCCATTTTGGAATCAATATCCTTCTTACCAAACAATATGAAAAATGACATCTTCCAGTATATGTATCAGTTAAATTTTATCAATTAATTGACTTGTGACTTTAAGCAGCGTTCTCTGTAGCTCCCTAAACTTTTTTGATATCACTTCTGATGAAGACTTAAGTTGAATTAATGTAAATGTAAATGCTATCTTTAACTTTTAATAATCAAGCAAGAACAAGTAGTTGAATTAATTAATTGACAACGTGGGACCTCTTAAATTGAACAATGATATAATTATATGCAATTGTGATACCTTTGACCTCTATCAAATGCTAGGTTCTTTACTATTTTTGATGATGACTCTTATGTATAATGTATAGATATAGACACCGAACTGCAGCTTTGAAGATCAAAATTAAGCACTTTTCCAAAGACTCGTGTGGCCAATTTCTATATTCAATCAATTATAAACAAACTTGTACCTTCTCAATGATTTATTCAAAAGAACTATTGTTGAATAGTTTATTATAGGGTTTATTGTTGAGGAAAATTTTGGTGTCAGGAATTCGAGAATATTTAAAGGAATAGGTTAGTTTGCTACAACCGCCTCGTTTTGTGACTAAACAAGCAACTTGGCTCTGAAATGAAACGAATATAGTTAATTGATCATTAGCTATCCATATTAACAGCTAGTGGTGAATCGTGAAATATATATAATACTATAAGTAGTATACTGATCAATTTCTTGACTCTTAAGCTTTCAAACGAGGGTCACAGGGCGTAAAATATTCGTAATTATTCGTCCTTTCAAACTACTCTCGGAGTTTTTGACACCCTAAGGCCAGGCTGAGGGCTTCACTGCTGATTCCTGAACCGCTACCTACGCTAGCTCTTGAATAGGCGTCTCAGTTAATTGACATACGCTAGCGTCGAGTATGTTGATCATACACTTGACACGTCGAGATCAGTGTGTGCATTTGAAGGTAATTCAATGGTTTCATTAAGAGTAGACTCGTTAGAAGGCTACTATCATTACTGGTACTTAACTCCATATAAAAGTTGGAGTGATGGTCCATGGACAATAAAATATAAGTATTTTTTCAAGCTGGTAGAATACGTTAGAACGTTGGAACTTGGAGCAATACCAGAAGATCCAGTCAATTGATAACGTACAATCACGAGTTACAGTTTGTAAATTGTTACAAAGTTCAAACTTGAGTACACTTCAATCAAGTTATCCGATCAAGTAGTACATATTTTGATACTTTTCTTGTAAGTTGGTACGTTGTACACAAGTACTAATTTGACGCACAAAGTAAAAATTTTCAATCACCAGAGTATTGATTTACTATATACAATTGCATCATGCTTCATCATTCATCAATGTACCAATTGAAGTTTGAGGTTTAAGGCCCTATTGACCAATAATATTAATGCAATATGCAATTTGTCATTGAAACTACGGTTGAAAGAGGCCCTTTGGCCTCATGTTTCATCTTTCAAGTTTCCTAAAATGATTTTGTACCCTTCAAGAACTCCTTCAACGCACACGAGTAGTTTGGAACAATAGATTTTTATTGATAAAAGTACTCGGGGCTCTAAACTCTAAACACACTTCGTTTTATCAAGTACACTGTACAGTATATATCTACGAAAGTTGGATCCTGATTCCTACTATATACTATATCGCATATAATATAGCTGTCAGTACTTTCTGTTGTTGCTCTATATTATATATATATAAGATCTGGATCTAAACTTTTAGGGTGTTTTCAAGACCAAGACAGTTCGATCACCAAACACCATCCATAATTAAGGCTATATCTTAATAGTACTATATACATTCAAGATAACTGGGTAGTTTTGACTATTCTTGTACTCGTAACTCGACTCTAAATATTGGCTTGAAAGTTGAATCCTAATTGATTGGACCGTACGTACGTAGACGTGTGAATATTTCTCTCTAATTGATCAAGAGCATTTCAAAATTCAAATATATGCTTCAACATACATCGCACATATGTGCAAATCAGATCCGAATTTTGAAAGCCCAGGTACGATCATTTTACCCAAAAATTGATTCCAATTTCCTATAGGTTGTAACTTGTAACTTGTAAGTTGCAATTAAGTACGCTTAATGCAGTTAATTGGTATCGATCATGCATGTACTCCTGTACTACTAAATTTAAATCGTGCGAACATAAAGATACAAATACACAAACGTAAAGTATCCAGATCGAGTAAAGTAACCCACTAATATAAACAGAAAAGGAATGGGTACAAGGAAGCTAATTATCTGGAGCTTTATTTAACTAGCTCAATGTATAAATTCAAAAAATACTTCTTGTGTCTTTATATAAGGTATGTACCACGGCGCCTTTAAACAATTTTTGAAGTACAGTTTTAATAGTTAACAAGATCTTACAATGTTTAAGCAATTGCATGCAATCTCAGCACAACCATTATATTATATGGATCCAACAGCTTGGTTATAACTTATAAGTGAGAACAATTTAATACTGATATAAATCGATTTCGGATTCTCTTCAGCTAGATGTCGTGTGAATTATAGATCTGCATTAATTCAATATTTATTTTGCTTGGACGTACTCTCTATAATGCTAATAATTATATTATATTATAGTTCTACAATTAAACTTCAAACGGTACTACAGCTATATTATACCCATATATATTAATACACATATGCTATAAGTCTTATCCAGAATCCTGCTATAACGTATATTCATTGAAGATGTCCAATAGCTAGTATAGTCACACCGTCACACCTAATATAAGCTATATATATATTAACGCGTCGCTAGTAACTTATACTTTGTTCTAATATATAACATAATATTATGTATCGCATGAGGATGATTATATGAGATACTACATGGACGTTGATTGATACGAGACGTGATCCTAAACGTCCACATGGGTCATATAGCATTATATTTTATGAGTCCACTTAAATCCAGAAGCGCCTATAGTTACACACGAATAACTAATTGAACAGTTTCTTATAATATTGTATCTGAGCATGTTATATATAGTATGCTTTAATTTTTATAACCGTTTGATTATACATCTTGAAGCTAGAAGAAGCAGTACATTTAAACCTTATATATATTGAAATGCCGAAACAACAACTTCTCGAATAAATTATTTAGTATATATTTGTATATCATCCCTTTCAGCTTTAAATCTGACGACGTTATTTTAATACTGCAATTATTAATAATTAATGGGACCCTATGTTGAATTAACATTATATAATAATATATATAGCTGCTAGTATACTGGAACTATACTGCTGATTGTGATTATATATATAGTACTGATGTAGAGCTGATTAACATGTCGCTAATATTTCCATAGATTAATTAAAGATGACGGCTTCCATCAATTCTGAAATAATTCTATGCAGTGAAATAACTTCCCATCGACTATATGTATACACTTGTTGCATGTAATGAGGTGATATATTAATATAAAGCATATTGTTATATACTATACGTGATATCATGGATGTTAATTACCCATTGTTCATATTCAAATGATTTAAACTCACAAGCTGATTCTCATGAAATGTACGTTAAAACGATCTTTTACAAGTTTTGGTTATATCAAAGTTTAAAATATGATCAACACCATCGGCCATGTCCATATTGACCTATAACTTCTAAACTAGCATATTTAACTTTGACACAAAACTCGATTAGCAATATGATATTCGTCTAGGCTGTATTTTGATCAACTTTGATTTAATAAGCTATATAAACTGCTTGGAAGTTGACACATAGGTAATTATGTTTAAGAATTTCTAGCCGATTTCATAAACTTCATGATGTTTGTATACCTATTTTAATTTCATGAGCTAGTTATAACTAGTTACTAGTACTAGTGAGTATTATGATGGATTTCAAAGGACTTCATGTAACTGTTAGACATTTCATATTGATATACAGCGTACATGATAAATTTCTGGCTAAGCCTAAGGTGAAAGATTTTGTTCTAGCGAAAAACTTTGGTTTTTCAAATAACGCTAATGTATTACAACGTAACAGCAGACACGTTAGAACTTAGTATGGTGAGTTGTGAGGATTATAAAATTAACTTGTCTAGACTCTAGAGTATCATTAATCCCCGTTAACCATATATATTAAGCTGAGTTCTGGAATCTGCACCAGAGTTACAAATTTACTAACTCATGTGAATATGACCATGGTCTGAAACAACTATGCGCTTGTAATCTGAGCCTATACTATACTATACTATTATGATAAACTCCAAGAAATTTACGATCAGTTCAACAGTTAATCCCTTGAATATATGGCACAAAATTAATGGCCTACAGTCTGGGAGATCAAATCTCAATGTAACTTTGTTAGTTGTAACTTGTAACTTGTAAGTTGTAAACGTTAATATAGAACTTAGCACTAAATTAATTTGACCTTCAAGATATGAGTGGTAGTACTGACACCTGTGTAATTAGAACTATGCATCTTCAGTTGAAAGAAAACTTGGGGGTCAGAAACGCCTTTTGTAGAGAGAAGCTTACTCCTGCTGGTTAATGAAGGTTCATGCTTCTAGGTAGCATTAAATCTTTCAACGGCCCAAAAAGGTGCGAGCTGCAAGCTGCGACTCGCGAGCAGCTAATTAATGAAAGTTCAGTTCTAACTTCTAACTTCTAACCTCTCAATCGAAATTCTATGAGAAGAGCAGCTAAGCTAGCTGAAGCCTAGATAGTAGAAACTTTAAAGGATTCAAATTGATCGAGTTCAGGTCACTGGCTCCACTGTATCATTTATGTGAATATATATTACAGATCTATAAGATTTTAGACGTAATTATAATTAATATCAAAGGATTGAATGAATGAAGTACCATACCATACATATGGTATAAGCGAAGTAGTAATCGACAAGTTTGTAACATTGATATAAAGCATATAAATTAGGGGTAAATCTGATTGCAAGCCAGCTTGTCGATTAATTTCATAAACTGAACGTCCAGTGTCGGCATGTCTAGTATGCATTTTTTATCGAACTCTGTCTAATGTTAAT